ACATGCCACGCAAAAGGGAACAAAAGAAAATGATAGAGGGGGGAGGAAAAAGCAAAGAGATGCGGGGTGGCGAGGGCACTGCAGTGCCTGGCGGCCACCAAGACGACGACTCGACGCCACTCCCACCGGCGGAGGACTACGTTGTGGAGCCGACGACAACGGAGGAGATGCACGAACTCCTCGATCTCATCCTGCAAGCCTGCGAGCATCTGCAGGAGTTGATACACGATCACCGCCCCGTCATGCAGAGGGAGGTGGCGAAGCTTCGGAAGGCCTACTGGCTTGCCACAGGTGAAACGGGAAGGCTGCGCGGCCGCAATGCGTCGGCCGAGTCCCTCTCCAGCGCCACTGACGGCAGCAGTGCAGGCACTCTACCCCCACTGACCGGCACGGAGGGCCCCAGGCGGCAGGACGCGAAGGCGGTCGCGTGCGATTGCGCGCTGAGGGAGTTGGACGAGTACGTGCATCCTCGGCTGGAGGCGCACACTTTCGACCTCGAGGACGCGGGTTGTGAGGGCAAGAAGGGCCGCACTTGGCGCTTTTTGGGCATTCCGCTTGAGCGCCGCCTCCAAACGCTGGTTGTGTCGGCGCTTCTCTTCTACACATTCATTCCAGTTGCAGTTGCGCTCACGCTGGTGCTGCTGCTGACTTGGTGGGCTATGCCGCTCATGTTGGCGTACCTTGTGTACATCTTCACCCTTGGGCAGCCCAAGCACCCACTGAAGAAGTGGGCTACCTTCACCCGGCATAAGCTGTGGGACCACTACGCTAGCTACTTCCCCGTGCGCCTTGTGATTCCTCGCCACGTGCGGGACAAATTCGACCCCCAGGCAAACTATTTCTTCATTTACCACCCGCACGGGATACATGGGTTTGGTGCCATTGCCGCCTTCAGCCTGGACTCCACGCTGAGCTCGCTGCTTCCGGGCATAAACGTTCATGCGCAGACGCTTAAAATTAACTTTTTTATTCCCTTTTGGCGTGAACTGCACCGCCTTTGTGGTCATGGGGACGCCAGTGCGAGCTGCATCCGTCGCACGCTGGGGTCGGGGCCTGGCGAGAGTGTTTTGCTGGTTGTGGGGGGCGCAAGTGAGAGCATCCTGGCGAGTCCGAATACCAACGAGCTTAGGCTGCAGAACCGGAGAGGGTTTGTGAAGATTGCACTGCAGGAGGGCTCTCCGCTGGTTCCCGTGTACGCGTTTGGGGAGAACGACGTCTACCGAATTCCCCGCATTGCGGGCTCTGCGTGGTGGAGGCGCGTCGGGGAGAAGTTTCGCAAAGTCACGACCTTTGGTCTTCCCCTGTTCCTTGGTCGTGGCTGGTTCAACTACAGCTTTGGCATCCTGCCGCACCGCCGCCCCATCACTGTGGTGGTTGGGGAACCCTTGCCAGTGCCGAAGATCCCCCAGCCCACATCAGAGGACCTGCAGGATTGGCACGACAAGTATGTCACGGCCCTCAAGCGGCTCTTCGACGAGTACCGCGCTGTGTACGACGTGGAGTCCAGTGGTCTGCGTATTCATTAGCGTTTGTAGTGTTGAGTGTCAGTGCCGTTTTTATTTTGCATGACGTGTTCTTGGGTTCCTGCGTTTAAGTGTGGGCATGTGTGGAGTGCCGAATCAAGTGAATTATTGGTTTTTGTCCGAAGTGAGCTTTGAGCAGCTTGGCGGTTCTTTTTTTTTTTAAATATTTTTTGTAGTTTTT